GCCATGAGCCAGACCCATGAGCCAGACCCATCAGCCAGAACCATGAGCCAGAACTTTGAGCCAGACCCATGAGCCATAACCTTGAACCAGACCGATTAGCCAGACCCGTGAGCCATTCCCTTGAGGCAGACCCATGAGCCAGACATATGAGCCAGACCCTTGAGCCATACCCATGACCCAGACCCATGACCCAGACCCATGACCCAGACCCATGAGCCAGAGCCATGAGCCAGACCCATGACCCAGACCCATGACCCAGACCCATGACCCAGACCCATGACCCAGACCCATGACCCAGACCCATGACCCAGACCCATGAGCCAGATCCATGAGCCAGACCCATGACCCTGACCCATGACCCAGACCCATGAGCCAGACCGAGGAGCCAGACCCATGAGCCAGACCCATGAGCCAGACCCATGAGCCAGAACCATGAGCCAGACCCATGAGCCATACCCTTGAGCCAGACCCATGAGCCAGACCCATCAGCCAGACCCATGAGCCAGACCCTTGAGCCAGACCCATGAGCAACACCCATGAGCCAGACCAATGAGCCAGACCCATGAGACAGACCCATGAGCCAGACCCATGAGCCAGACACATGAGGCCGACCCATGAGCCAGACCCTTGAGCCAGACTCATGAGCCAGACCCATGAGATAGACCCTTCAGCCAGACCCATGAGCCAGACCCATGAGCCAGACACATGAGCCAGACACATGAGGCCGATCCATGAGCTAGACCCATGAGCCAGACCCATGAGCCAGATCATGAGCCAGACCCTTGAGCCAGACCCATGAGCCAGACCCATGAGCCAGACCCCTGAGCCAGAACCAGGAGCCAGACCCATGACACAGACCCATCAGCGAGACCCATGAGCCAGAACCATGAGCCAGACCCATGAGCCAGACCCATGAGCCAGACCCATCAGCCAGACCCACGAGCCATACCCTTGAGCTAGACCCATCAGCCAGACCCTTGAGCCAGACCCATGAGCCAGACCCATGAGCAAGACCCATGCGCCAGACCCATGAGCCAGACCCATGAGCCAGACTCATGAGGTAGACCCTTAGCCAGACCCATGAGCCAGAAGAATGAGCCAGACCCATGAGCTAGACCCATGAGCCTGAAACAGGAGCCAGACCCATGACCTAGACGCATGACCCAGACCCATCAGCCAGACCCATGAGCCAGACCCATGACCCAGACCCATGAGCAAGACAAATGAGCCAAACCCTTGAGCCAGACCCATGAGCCAGACCCATGACCCAGACATATGAGCCAGACCCATGAGACAGACCCATGAGCCAGACCCATGAGCCAGACCGAGGAGCCAGACCCATGAGCCAGACCCATGAGCCAGACCCATGAGCCAGAACCATGAGCCAGACCCATGAGCCATACCCATGAGCCAGACCCATGAGACAGACCCATGAGCCAGACCCATGAGCCAGACACATGAGGCCGACCCATGAGCCAGACCCTTGAGCCAGACTCATGAGCCAGACCCATGAGATAGACCCTTCAGCCAGACCCATGAGCCAGACCCATGAGCCAGACCCATGAGCCAGACCGAGGAGCCAGACCCATGACCCAGACCCATGAGCCAGACCGAGGAGCCAGACCCATGAGCCAGACCCATGAGCCAGACCCATGAGCCAGAACCATGAGCCAGACCCATGAGCCATACCCATGAGCCAGACCCATGAGACAGACCCATGAGCCAGACCCATGAGCCAGACACATGAGGCCGACCCATGAGCCAGACCCTTGAGCCAGACTCATGAGCCAGACCCATGAGATAGACCCTTCAGCCAGACCCATGAGCCAGACCCATGAGCCAGACACATGAGCCAGACACATGAGGCAGATCCATGAGCTAGACCCATGAGCCAGACCCATGAGCCATAACCTTGAACCAGACCCATGAGCCAGACCCATGAGCCAGACCCATGAGCCAGACCCATGAGCCAGACCCATCAGCCAGACCCACGAGCCATACCCTTGAGCTAGACCCATCAGCCAGACCCTTGAGCCAGACCCATGAGCCAGACCCATGAGCAAGACCCATGCGCCAGACCCATGAGCCAGACCCATGAGCCAGACTCATGAGGTAGACCCTTAGCCAGACCCATGAGCCAGAAGAATGAGCCAGACCCATGAGCTAGACCCATGAGCCTGAAACAGGAGCCAGACCCATGACCTAGACGCATGACCCAGACCCATCAGCCAGACCCATGAGCCAGACCCATGACCCAGACCCATGACCCAGACCCATGAGCCAGACCCATGAGCCAGACCCATCAGCCAGACCCATCTGCCAGAAACATGAGCCAGACCCATGAGCCATACCCTTGAGCCAGATCCATGAGCCAGACCCATGAGCCAGACCCATGAGCCAGACCCATGAGCCAGACCCATGAGCCAGACCCTTGAGCCAGACCCATGAGCCAGACCCATGAGCCAGACCCATGAGCCAGACCCATGAGCTAGACCCATGAGCCAGACCCATGAGCCAGACACATGAGCCAGACCCATGAGCAAGACAAATGAGCCAAACCCTTGAGCCAGACCCATGAGCCAGACCCATGACCCAGACATATGAGCCAGACCCATGAGCCAGACCCATGAGCCAGACACATGAGCCAGACACATGAGCCTGCCCCATGAGCTAAACACATGAGCCAGACCCGTGAGCCAGACCCATGAGCCAAACGCATGAGCCAGACGCATGTGGCATACACATCAGACGTACACATCAGCCGGACACATGAGCCAGCCACATGGGCCAGACACATGAGGCACACTCATGAGCCAGACACATCAGCCAGACACATCTGACGAGCCCATTAGTCAGACACATAAGCCAGCTGTTTCAGCCTTTAGGGGTGGACACTTCATTTGGCAAGATTGGTTGACAGGCATGAAATGAACATCTTATTGCGCAGATTCTTCAGGCCTCTCGTTACAAAAACGCCATTTCAGCCGAGCCAGCTAGTGGCCAGCCAGATTGCCATTCCGGCTAACCAGAATATCCAGGGAAATATAGTACATTTGGTTTTGGTTTCTCCGTAAAATTCGCATTCATCCATGAGTACTTTCTCTTCCTTCAAGGCGGCTCTTGTTGTTCAGATTTTCCATCACACTTGGCTTGGCCAGGTTACGGTTCGGGCATGACCATCCATATTAGGCTGTTTGCCATTCTGGCCTAGACAAATCACCTGGCCATATTCCCATCCAGGTCAAAGCAATGAGTGGATGGAGGCTGTGTAGTTAGGGGATTCGAACGTGTGATAGACGGCGCCATCTACCAGATTCTCGTTACAAGCCTCACCACATCATTTCCCAGATTTACGGCCCTATCGCGTTCATCTGATAGATGTCCGATTCGAGCCTGACCATATCGTAAGGCAAATGCTCCAGGAATTACCACATAGCTCCCAAATTGCCATTTCAGGACTGCTCAGTGCTCACATGGTCTGCAAGATTGCCGTATCAGCCATGAACACATCACTGTCCCAGACTGCAATTTCAGGCCTCACTACTTTATCTGTCAGATTGCTGTTCTCTGCCTGACTACATCATCTAGCAAAATGTCATGTCAGGCCTGGCCACATCACCTGCCAAAATGCCATTTCAGGCTTGCCTGAACACCTTATCTGCCAGATTGCCATTTTTGGCTTGACCACTTCATCTTGCAGGTTGCCATGTTTAATCCTATTGTCATTTGAATCCTGACCACATCATTTGTCAGGCCTGTCCACATCATCAGCCAGATTTCCATTTCAGGGCCGACCACATCACCTGCGTTCTGGCCAGACCACTTCAGTTGCCACACTCATTCTAGCATGGCCACCTCATTTGCCAGATCTCACGCTGGACTGACCACTTAATTTGCCCGATTCATATACTTTCCGGGTCATCTCATTTGCCACATTCTCATTATGGCCTGTCCACTGCATTTGCTAGATTCTCGTTCTGGCCTGACCGCTTCATTTGCCACATCTTAACTCTAGCCTGACCACCTCATTTTCCCAATTATCATTCTAGCATGACCACAATATTTGCCATGCTGGCCTGACTAACTTTGTTGCCAGACTCGCAAACCGCCCTCACTCTTTCATTGGCCTGACTTTCATTATGGCCTGCCAATTCATTTTGCCAGATTCTTCTTCTAGCCTAACCACCCCACCCCATTTGCCAGATGCTCATTTGGCCCGACCACATCATTAGTTGGATTCAAATTCTGGTTTCTCTCGAACTCATTATTCAGTTGTTAAAGTCTTATTTTGGAATGGCCACTTCACTTGCCATGCACTCATTCTTACGTGACCATCCGCTTCATTTGCTGGATTCTAAATATGGCCGGACCATTTCATTTGCTCATTTCTCCTTCGCGCCTAACCAAATTATGTACGGTACCAGGTTCTTTTTTGGTTTGGAGGACCTACTTCTTATGCATCCTAATTCAAATATGCATTAAGCATCGACAATTCCTTGGATTGATAACATGATTGAAGCATGATAGAAACAAAATATTTTTCATTGATGTAACAGCTCTTCATTTGTGCCAAGTTCCTATTTGCTACATGTCCCTTCTATTTATTTTTATTTTTATTTTTGCATTTTTTTCCATATTGGACGTATTGCTGTTCTAAACCGGCGTGTTGCACGGGGGAGGTGGGGGAATGATATCACACGGAGAGGCTTCCCTTATTTAGGACCTATTGGCGTTCATTTGGGTGAGAAACTGAGAATCATCATTCTATGATGCTTATAGACAAAAGTTTGCGTTAGACGGTTGTTGAGGAATCAATTTGATTCTAAGTTATTTCTAAAATAGATGCATTCTGTTCAGAAATATCGCCCCCCCTGAATCAATTGACGACGTGCCCGCTATGACGAATATTCAGGAGACTCAACATAGCGGACAAATTCAGCTTTCCTCCCTCCTCTTGCTCAGCAATCCCAAGGCCCCCTTCACCATTATCCAGCTGGAGCCAGTCACGATTATCCTACAGCCGGCGAAACCAACGGTCAGATCCGTCGTGAGGGGATTTCGCGAAACCCATTCGCCGAGCTAGTCAGTACATACTTGTCAATGGTAACAGTCGCAGGCCCCGAATTCGCCGCGGCATGCATTTGGCGACGAAAATGAAGCCCCAACAGGGTGAGGCGTCTCGAGCACGCACGAAACTGAATCTCGATCAAACGTTCATTCGCCAGATCCGTCGCGAGCTGCCCTGCGATGGCCTTGCGAAATGTTTCTCCGACGCTGGTCGGTGGGCTTGTTCAATTTGTTGGCGGGAACGCAGCTCAGGCGCCTCGAGGACGCACGAATCTGAAACCCCAGTGGAGGCGCCTCGAGACTGCCTGCGGCGAACCTTCTCTGTCATTTCGAACCCCTCTGATTCCATCTGACGTGGCGTGCAACGCAGCGGACAGCAAGGCAGGCGATGGATGAAACCCCAATCTGGGGCCAGTGGAAGCATCTGAAGCCTCGAGGCTAGGGTTTGAGCGGCCGAGGGTGGAGTGGAGTAGAAATGGGCTCGCGAGGGATCGATCTTGTCATTCTCATCGTTGGTTCAACACTTTTAGTACCCCTGCTCTTCAACTGCTGAAAGCGCAACTCTCAGCATTGCGAAATCTGACTGAAAGCCAAGCCGACTTCAGCTACTTTTTCCTGATCCCAGGACTGTACATCGGTCAACAAGCTTCTGTTCAAGCAATCTGCTCAACTACAATCAACTAACATGGCCTCTGGTGCGGATCGCTGCGTCGTTAGCGGCGGAATGGCGAAGACCGTCAACGCTGCTTCGCCAACCTCCAGTCCTGCAACGCCTACCAGAGGCATTGGCAGGTTCGGCACGCCTCGTACGGTTTTCTCTCCTGCTGCATACTCTCCTGCGAAATCTGCCTTTGAGAAAGTACCAGATCTGAAACTCCCTGCTGCTGCGTGCGACGCCAAGACGGCGACCAACACCAGCGACTGTGTCAGCTGCTGCAGCAGCGTGCGTCTGAAGAGCGTGAGGCCCCTGCTGGAGAATCTGGCGAAGCAGATGCAGGCGTCTTCCTCCCAAGACCACTCTGATGCTGATCGCCTTCAGAAGATAAAGAAGGTTCAGATCACTGACTCATCGGACGTTAAGAGGCCGGGAATTGGCCGGTTTGGAGGGAAGGCTGCGGCTGCTCCGGTTGCACCATCTGCTGTGGTTACGCCTGTGGCCGTGGTTCTGGTGTCGCCTGTGGTTCCTGTGGCTCTGACTGCATCAACGATGACGGATACGAGCGTGACTCCTGCAGCTGCAGCAGCAGTGCTTGTAGCGGATGCTGCTGCACCACCAGTGAACCCAGTTGAGAGCGCGAACGCGTGCAGCAGCAACGGGCTGAGGGTGTCTGGTGAGGCGAGTGGAAGTGTTCCCCGCTCACGCGAAGAGAGGGAGGCGAGCTGGAAGAAGCTGTGTGAGGAGATCTGGGCCATGGACATTGAGAAGACCAAGGCAGCCATGCCTGACTGGATAGTGGCCAAGTATGCTAAGGATGTTGCGAAGCTGGCTCGGAAAAACGTCCCTGTTGCATCTGCAGCAGCAGCGAGTGTAGCAGAATCAGCTGCACCATCATTGAGCCCAGTGAAGGAGTTGGTTGCGCCATCGGTGAGCCCAGCTGCGGAGACGGTTTGCCAGGTGCAGTCTGAAAGCAGGTCAGGCAAGAACGAGTTGAGCAGCAACGGGCTTATCATGTGTGGCGAGGCGAGTGGAAGGGTGTTGCGTACACATGAAGAGTGGCAGGCCAGGTTCGACAAGCTGAGCAAGGAGGTACGGGCCATGGACATTGAGAAATCCAAAGCGGCAATGCCAGACTGGATTGTCGTCAAGTATGCTGATGCTGTGGCAAAGCTGACTCGCACAAACGTGGCTTCCGCGTCTGCAGCAGCGGCACCTGCAGCAGCAGCAACTGTTGCAGAGTCTGAAGCCCCATCTGCTGCAGCAGGAGTAACGAAATCACACGCTGGTGCATCATCAGTGAAGGGTGCTGCACCATCTGCACCATCTGCGAGGCAAGGCAAGACCAGCAGCAGCCATGCGAGTGGGGTGGAGAGGAGAGAGGGGGGTGGGTGTGGGGAGAGAGCAGCAGGGAGGGCAGCAGGTGGAAGGCAGGCTGCTGTGAAGGCAGCAGGTGGGAGGGGCGGTGGCAGAGCAGTGGCAAGTGGTGTGTGTGGCAGGGAGGGGGTGAAACAGCAGGCGGGGAAGAGAGAAGGCTTGGCGCATGAGAGGCAGGTGAGGCCAGGCTGGTGCAGCGGCAGGGCGCACAGAAGGTCGTCCTGAAACTACTGTGTTCGGTTTGGCACAAGTCCCAGCTGCTGTTGGGAATAAATGTGTTGCTTGTAGGCAGTATATGCCAAACTGCAGTATTTGTGTATGTACATATCCTATGACATTGTTACTAGTACTCACTCCTATGTTGATATTTGTAAGCCTCAGATGCATGTATAAAGCATATCCGTCCTGCATGCTATTGTGGAGATCATGTTTTGCGAAGAATGTAATAAGCTCAGGCAAGAATCATCAGATGGATCTTGTTTCAAACGCACAAGGCTGGGCATGTCGCTCTACACTGACGATATCCTACGCTGGTGCAGCAAGCAGCGCAGCTAAGCATTCCCACATAACAGCAGTTTGTTTGCTCTTGCACGGCAAACTTCAAGTTACTGTTCAACTGCCTCCCAGCAATCATGCAATTGCTGTTGAGGTAGCAGTGGCAGCAACCCCCCTCAGCATCAGCCTGCACCAGAGCCCCGCCTTGGTGTGCATGGCGGCGCCAGGCCTGTCGTTATTGTCAACTTATACATATTATCTATGTAGAAGTTATAGGCTAGACTGAGGTATGCTTCTAGTGAGTACAACCAACTAGTATTTGTTCTAGGTTTCCACCTCTAGTAATCATTCGTTTCTACGTTAACATGGTATCAGAGTCTGACTGGCTTTTCTACCACCCGCCGTCTCACCGCTTCCTCCACTCTCGTGACGTCACCTTTGACGAGTCCGTCTCCTTCTACCGCCGCTTCCCTCACCGAGGTCTCCCAGTTGCCCCCCCCCTTTTCCTTGCTCCCTCTCCCCCGGTAGCCCCTGCCCCTCTCCCGCCTCGTCCTGCCCCGTCTGGTGTCTCCCACGTCACTCCCCTCCCGTCGGTTGTCCCCGTTGAGGAGTCTGCTGACTCTGGTGGTACCCCCGGTCCGTCCTTGCCGCGTCCCCCTTCCCCAGTGCCTCCGCCCCCACTGTCGCAGTCGCCGACCCCGCTGCCGCCGCCGTCGCCGTCGCCGCCGCAGCCGTCGCCGCTGTCGCCGCCACTGCCGCCGTTGCTCTCGGCCCCTGGGGGTGCTGGTGTGGAGGAGGGTGTTCGTCCTGCGGCTTCTGGGGGTGCCGCTGGTGTTGGAGGGGGTTCTCGCTCTTGGGGTGTTGGTTCTGGGGGTGCTGCTGTTGAGTGTTCTGCCGACGGTCGTTCTGCCTCTGCTGGTCCCAGAGTTCCGGCCCAGCCGTCGTCGCCGCCACAGCAGCCGTCGCCGCCGGTTTCCGCTCTCCGCCTGCTCGGCCTTCCCTCCCCGGACCGCGCGCCGGTGTCTCCCCCACCGCCTCCTGACCTCCCTGTCTACGGTCCTGTGTTCCCCTCCTGTGTCTCCTCCGCTGTCCCCTGACCCTACCCCTCCGTCTCACGTTTGGGCTCGCCGTCCCTCCCGTGCTCGTCCCGTCTCTCCTGTCCTGCCCACCCACCCTATGTTGCTCCGTTCCCACTCGTCTCGTCCTCCCCTCCTCCCGTCCCCTCCTCCCTCGTCCCTTGCTGTTGCACCTCCTCCGTTCTCTGACTACCTCCGTGCTGCTCGTCCCCTTGTCCCTCGGGTCCTTGCCTCTCTTGTTACCGACCCTGCTGTTCCTGTCTCGCGCCTTGACGCGCTTGTCGCTGCTGTCGCTGACTTCGCTTCTACCCGCCGCCTTGACTACGCTACCGCTCTGGTCTCTGACCCTGCCCGTCCTCTGTCCGTCGGGGGTGCTCCTGCCCTTGGCAGTGACGTCCTAGAGGACAGGCAGTACGAGCTGGCTTTCCTTTCCGAGGCTGCTCCCCATCTCTGCTCCATGCTGTTAGTCCCTGAGGGTGACCCAGACGCCTTCGACATCCCGACCCCTCGCACCTACGCTGAGGCCACCTCGGGACCTTGGGCCTCTCAGTGGATAGCTGCCATGGAGCAGGAGATGGCATCTTGGAGATCCACCGGCACTTACGTCGACGCAGTTCCCCCGCCTGGGGTGAACGTAGTCGATGGTCGGTGGCTCTTCAAGGTGAAGCGCCCCCCTGGAGAGCCGCCTGTCTTCAAGGCGCGCTACGTGGCCAGAGGTTTCAGTCAGCGCGAGGGAGTTGACTTCTTCCAGACCTTCGCCCCGACCCCGAAGATGACCACTCTTCGGGCGCTGCTACACGTAGCAGCACAGCGTGACTACGAGCTTCACTCTCTCGACTTCTCTACTGCCTTTCTTCAGGGCAGCCTACACGAGCAGGTCTACCTGCGCCGACCACAGGGCTTCACTGGTACCTTCCCTCCTGGGACCCAGTGGCTTCTCAGGCGCCCGGTCTACGGCCTGCGTCAGGCTCCCCGCGAGTGGCACGACACGCTACGTGCCACGTTAGCAGACCTGCAGTTCTTTCCGTCCTCTGCTGACCCTTCACTGTTTGTGCGTTCCGGCCAGACTCCGTTCTACATCCTTGTCTACGTAGACGACCTGGTCTTCGCTACTCCTGACAGGGACGCACTGGCCTCTGTGAAGGCTGAGCTGCTGAAGAGACACACCTGCACTGACCTTGGAGAGCTGCGTCGCTATCTTGGCCTGCAGATCTCTAGGGACAGAGCAGCACGCACCATCACTCTGACCCAGTCACACTTGGTGCGTCAGGTCCTTCAGAGGTTCGGTCTTCAGTTCTCCTCCGCACAGCCCACACCTCTACCCGTAGACCATGGGCTCTCTGCTCCCGTTCCTGAGGAGCCAGTAGAGCCCAGTGGCCCCTACGCAGAGCTGGTGGGTTGCCTCATGTACCTGATGACTTGCACTCGCCCAGATCTCGCATACCCTCTCAGCATCCTGGCTCGCTTTGTGGCTACAGGCAGACACCGACCTCAGCACTGGTCTGCCGCTAAGAGGGTTTTGCGTTATCTTGCTAGTACATCAGGCATGGGGTTAGTGCTAGGAGGACGCAGGCCAGTGGTCCTTACTGGGCACACAGACGCTTCTTGGGCAGACGACGCTGAGACGCTCAGGTCGTCGCAGGGCTACTGTTTTAGCCTTGGTTCGGGTGCTATCTCTTGGAGATCCACTCGCTCGTCGTCTGTGGCTCAGTCTAGCTGTGAGGCTGAGATCTACGCTGGTGCCATGGCGGCACAGGAGCTCCGCTGGCTGACCTTCTTGCTCACAGACTTAGGTGAGCGGCCTAGCTCTGCCCCGGTCCTGTACGCTGACAACAGGGCCATGATACTCCTGTGTCAGGAGCCTCGGCTTGAGGGCAGAGCGAAGCATATCCAGCTGCGGTACTTCCTCCTGCGCGAGCTACAGCAGCGCCGCCAGGCCCGCGTAGTTCACTTGGCCTCAGGTGCCAACACAGCTGATATCTTTACTAAGGCGCTTGCGCCTAAAGATCATCAGCGGCACTGTGTACAGCTTGGTCTTGTTCCTATAGCTGCTCCCCTGTTAGGATCCTGATTGTGTACTCTCTATTATATATGCTTGTCAGACTGGCCTTGTGGCCTTACCTCCAGTGGCTGGACTAGTAGTGCCACCCTGGCTTGCTTCAGTTTTGGTTGTATTCTTGCTGACTGGTCTCCAGACCCCTGCCTCAGTGGTTGGACTAGTAGTGCCGCCCTGAGCTGTTTGCTTCTTGTTTAGTTTCACCCCTTGTCTAGCCTAGGGGGTGTGTCAACTTATACATATTATCTATGTAGAAGTTATAGGCTAGACTGAGGTATGCTTCTAGTGAGTACAACCAACTAGTATTTGTTCTAGGTTTCCACCTCTAGTAATCATTCGTTTCTACGTTAACAGTTATCAGGGTATTTTACCCTGATTCCCTGATTTCACATGGTATTTTTTTGGCCAACCCTTAATTTTCAGGGTCGGGCTTTTTTTAACCCTAACCTCTGTCAAAAGACTAGCTTAGCTAGGAAGCCATAGAATGGCACAAGGTTTAGCTAGGAGCTAGGAGGTATCAAAATAATTGAATGATAGTAAAGTGAGAGTACACACAAATATATCTAAGTTTTGTATCCTCTAAGAGGTGACTCTATACAGTCTATACAAACATGACAAATACACATGTTTGACACACCCCCTAGACTGCATAGGGGAATACCCTAAACAAGCAGCTCAGGGCGGCACTACTAGTCCAACCTCTGAGACAAGAGTCTGAGCGACCGGTCAGAAGGAGTACAGACAAGGCAAGCACAAGAGCAGTGCGGCACTACTAGTCCAGCCACTGGGAGAGGACACAAGTCCAGTCTGAGTATACATATAAAGGACAGTACAAAGTCAAGGTCCTAGCAAGTGAGAGGCTACAGGAACTAGACCAAGCTGTACACAGTGCCGCTGATGATCTTTAGGCGCAAGCGCCTTCGTAAAGATATCAGCCGTGTTGGCACCTGAGGCTAAGTGTACTACGCGAGCCTGACGTCGCTGCTGTAGCTCACGCAGGAGGAAGTACCGCAGCTGAATGTGCTTCGCTCTGCCCTCGAGTCGAGGCTCCTGACACAGGAGGATCATGGCCCTGTTGTCAGCGAACAGGACCGGGGCAGAGCTAGGTCGCTCACCTAAGTCAGTGAGCAAGAAGGTCAGCCAGCGGAGCTCCTGTGCCGCCATGGCACCGGCGTAGATCTCAGCCTCACAGCTGGACTGTGCAACAGACGAGGAGCGCAGGGTGACCTAGGCGGTGGTGCCACAGGAGGGTCGGGTGAGTGAGGGAGCGACAGGAGCAGGCAGCAGCAACCTGGGTAGACACAGCCACCTGAGGGGGCGCTCCAGCCGGGGGGGGCACGGTGTCCAGAGTGAACAGGCCGGACACCGGGTCCCGGGGGAACGTGGACAGGGGGGCACCAGTGGCGGCCTCGGTACAGACAGCATACCGCTCGTGACCAGGGAACGTAGTGGTGACGCCAAGGTCCTGGAGGCAGCCGACACCAACTAGGTTCCTGGAGAACGAGGGGATATGCAGACCTGTAAGAGAGCCCGAAGGAACCGCCGGACAGGGAAGGGTGGTGGAACTGCGGGCGACTACCGGGCCGCCGGAGGGGTCAGCAAGAGAAACGGCAGCAGGAACAGGAAGCGGCGTCAGGGTGGTGGAGTCGCGGAAGAAACACCGAGAGGCGCCAGAGTCCAAGGTGAAGGAAAGCGAAGCCGAGGGGTCTGGCGACGGAACGACGGCAGAAGCACCAAGACTACACAAAGCAGGGGATCCTACGCCTGACGCAGCAGGGGAG